GCATCAAAGAACAATAAAATTATATCATTGTAAATGTGGGTGAGTGCAGAGTGGAGACTCAAAGCCCATTGGTAGGCAACTGGACACCCCCTTACTGAAGGGTTGTGGGGAGGAGATAAGTCAGTCAGGGTGCAAGGTAGCAACAATGAAACATACAACTTTCCTCTAGTTCTTAAATGTTTCCTACCCCCCGACTATCATGATCCCAATTCTACCTTAAAAATCTGGCTAGTCCAGAGGATGTACATTGGTACCGATAGCAACTGGAAACACAGGGAATCCAGGACAGATGACTCCTTCAGGACCAGTGGTGAGAGTGGCGATGCCTGGAGGGTGGAGAGAATGTGGGGTGGAATCTACCTATGGCCTCCTCCCTGGGGGATGGACAGCAGAGAAGAGGGCGGGGGAGAGGGGGGAGACGTCATAGAATGTAACATATGACAAAAATATAATAATTTATGAATTATGAAGGGTTCATGAGGGAGGGGGATGAAGAAGCCATTTAAGGAGGGCTGTGGCTCGTGTCATGTATCTGTCTAGGGCAGTGTGCAAATGTCTGTCCTAGCTGGTTCTCACAAACTGCTTCCTTACTGCAAACAGTAAGGAATTTGGGGAACAGCTGCATACAGTGTTCCCTGGGAACAGTAAATAACAGCAATACGGGCTGAGATACGAAACTCTCAAGGCTATGAGAAACTGAAGCGTGGGAATAGGGAACTTGTCTGGGAACACTGCCAGTATTTAGTAGATAGGAATAAAGCGCTGTGCTCCATCAGGGCTGCAGTTTGTACCGTCTCTGTCTGTGTCGATTTTGTGCTGCAGTCCTGTATTGTCTGTGTGTGTGTGTTTGTCTGTTTGGTTCTATGATCATTCTCCCTGCTCAAGAAACCGTATCAGGGGGGAGTGTGGAAGAAAGGGAGAAAATGAGCAGCTGATATTAAGGGCTCAAGTAGAAGGCAAATGTTTTGAGAATGATGATGGCAACAAATGTACATATGTGCTTGACACAATGGATGTATGTATGAATTGTGATAAGAATTGTACGAGCCCCCAATAAAATGATTTAAAAAAAAGAAAGAAGCACACCAGCCTGTGATCATGAGGTGTCAAAGGGATCAGGTATCAAGCACCAAGGAACAAAAATCACATCACTGTGAATGAGGGGGATTACAGAATGGGGACCCAAAGGCCACTTGTGGGCAACTGGACATCCCCTTACAGAAGGGTTGTGGGGAGGAGACGAGCCGGTCAAGGGACAGTGTAACAACGATGAAAGATGCAACTTTCCTCTAGTTCTTAAGGAGGATGTACACTGGTACAGATGGGAACTGGAAACACAGGGAATCCAAGACAGATGATTTCTTCAGGACCAGTGGTGAGAGTGGTGATACCGGGAGGGTGGAGCAAAGCTAGGGTAGAAAGGGGGAACCGAGAGCAAGGATCTACATATAACCTCCTCTCTGGAGGATGGACAACATAAAAATGGATGAAGGGAGACGTCAGACAGTGTAAGATATGATAAAATAATAATGACTTGTAAATTATCAAGGGTTCACGAGGGAGGAGGGAACGGGGAGGGAGGGGAAAAATGAGGAACTGATGCCAGGGGCTCAAGTAGAAAGCAAATGTTTTGAGAATGATGATGGCAACAAATGTACACATGTGCTTGACACAATGGATACGTGTATGGATTGTGACAAGCGTTGTACAAGCCAATAATATGATTAAAAAAATTAGTCTACTATATTTGATCAAAAAATTAATTCACCGCTAATGAGACAGCTAGGGAGAGAGATGAGGCCTAAGAAAACCACAAGGGCAGTTCTACACTCTACTATAGAGTAACTAATAAGTCAGAATCTACTCGATGACAGTGAGTTTGAAGGTGATGGCTGAAACTGCTGCTCTTTGGTGATGCATGCGATGTCAGCTGGTATTGATGATTTTATGGGCTTTTTATAGTCTAGACATTTGGGTTCCAATTATGTCAATATATATAGCAGACAGCCTCATCGTTTAACCTCAGAGCAGCTGGTGGGCTTGACCCACCAACCTTGCAACTGGTTAGCAGCTCAATGTTTAACCTATAACACCACCAGGGCTCCTTTAATCTAGGTCAGAGGTCAGCAAACTAGGGCTTCCTTGCTTTTATAAATCGATACCTGCTTTCTCAGTACAACAGACAAGTACAGGTAGTCCCTGGGTTACTATGTATGATGTATAGATAACTATTTCCTCTTCTATGTTATATAAATTTGCCCTTACTTTGAAATGACTGAATCTACAAATTCATCATATTTACCTTTACTTGCTGCATGTTCAGCTTTTAAAAATCACTGAAACGGTTTCTTGCATTTAACCCAACCACCCACTTCTGTCCCATCGATTACAAATTCATAGCAACCCTATAGGACAGAGATGGCTCTGGAGGGTTTCTGCGACTGTAAATGTTTACAGATCACCTAATCATGCAGCTGAGCAGAGCTGGGAGGGGCGGGGCGGCAAACTGTCAACCTTGCAGATAGCAGTCCAATATTTAGCACACAGTGCCACAAGCCACCAAGGATCCTTCTCGTGCACAAACCCCACCCCTACCACTGAGTCGATTCTAATTCATATTGGCCTTGTAAAGGGTTTTTGAGGCTGTAAATCTTTAAGGGCGCAGACAGCTTCATCTTTCTCACATGGAGTGGCTGGTGGCTTCAAACCACCAGCCTTGCACTTAGCAGCCCAATGCTTGCCTGACAGCGCTACTAGCGCTCCCTCTTACACTACAGTAAGGTTAAATAAGAACCATATGTACCAATTCCTACCTACCTACAAATTGTACTTAAAGATTTAAAAATACAGTGAAGAATAGATCTCATTTGTAAGCCAGGGACTGTTTGTTCGTAGTTGCAACAAGTAGTATGGAACTGCAAACCTAAGATATTTACTATCTGAATCTTTATAGAAAACCTTGCTGACACTTCTTAAAGAAAACGAATGTGTTCGTGACCATGGGATGATAGTTTTTTTTTTCTTTCTTTCATAAAGGGAAAACATAATAGCCACAAAATAAAGCAAACAAAAAGTTCAAAGTTATCTATTGCAAGAGTTGGTGGGTTCAAACTTGTGACTGCAGTTAGCAGGCCATCCTGTACTCCACTATGCCACCAAGGTATCTCAGTTTCTTATAGAAGTATTTATGTCATTGGGTCATGTATTTTTGTGCACTCTGACCATCTCTACACCTTAAATAGTATTTACCCTTAAATATCATTTATCCTTAATGTAATTATTAAGATGTTAATACTTAAGTAAGAAGCACTGGGCTGCGAACTGCAAGGTTAGCAGTTCAAAACTACCAGCCGCTCCTCAGGAGGAAGCTGGAGCTTTCTACCTGGCCTTACAGGGTCACTATGAGCTGACATCGACGTGATGGCAGTGCGTTTTGTTTGACTTGGCTAAGGCTAAGTATGCCATTTTATTTTTTGTTGTATGTTCGTTTCCATCTCTCTATTCACTCTCTCCTGCTTTCCTATTAATAGAATTCTTTTGAAAATTCAATTTCAACTTATTTGTAGTTTTTTGGAGTATAGCTTTTTTACAGTTTTATTGGTATTTGAGATTATTATAGAAAGATTACATTACAGAAAGATAACTTCTTAGAGTCTACAGCAGTGTTTCTCAACCTTCCTAATGCTGTGACCCTTTAAATACAGTTCCTCATGTTGTGGTGACCACCCAACCATAAAATTATTTTCATTGCTACTTCATAACTGTAATTTTGCTACTGTTATGAACCGGGTGACCCTTGTGAAAGGATCGTTCGAATCCCAAAGGGGTTGCGACCCACAGGTTGAGAACTGCTGGTCTACAGGAATCTTAAGGCTCCCTGGTGGTGTAGTAGCATCACATTACTACTTCAATTAAAGTGTAGAAAACTTAAGAAAAAAATTATCAGCTGATCAGACAGGGAAATACTTGATAGCAGAGATAGGTAAGCCTGGGAGCCTAATTCAGCTCGTGATTTAGTATAAACAGTTTTATTGGTACACAACCACACCCATCCATTTAAGTACTGCCTGCAGCTGTTTTCCACACTTACCAGCAGAGTTGATTCAGTTGTGATAGTATAGTCTTCAAATCTAAAATATTTGTTGACTGGACTTTTAAGAAGGAGCCCGGTGGAACTGGGGGATATGCATTGGTCCACAAGCTAAGAGTTCAAATCACCAGTCACTCTGCAGGAGAAAGCCCAGACTGTCTACTCCAGTAAAGTTTACATTCTAGGAAACCCTAAATAGGGTCACGGAGAGTTGGAAGTGCCTCGAGTAAAGGACTAAGCAGGGATTCTGTTACAGAACCCATGGGGTGTAGGGGTGTGCAACTAAAACACCTCCCACTGTGCTAAACAGGATTGCCAATAAAGTTGCCTGGCTTCACCCTGGGGTTTAGAGAAAGGAAAATTAAATCTTTCCCCGCAGAATTTGTACACACAACCCAGCCCATGTAGGTCTGCAGTGGCAATTTCCACTATCAGTATGAACTGAAAAAAGGTTTACTGTTCCCTTTCCAGAAATCCTGCAGCATTGCTATCCTCTCACCATCACATCTGACTATCTTCTGATGACTTAACTTTTGTTTAATTTTATGGAGCTCTGGTGACACAATCTCAGGTGCCATAGTAGGTTACGTTTTGGGATGCTAAACACAAGGCCAGCAGTTCAAAACCACCAGCTACTCCACGAAAGACAAGGCTTTCTACTGCCCCAAATAATTTTGGAAACCAACAGGAAAATTTTACCCTGTTCCTGTAGAGTAGCTATGAGTTAATGGCAGCAAGTTTGGTTTGGGATTTTGGTGGCATAGGGGATTACACATTGGGCTGCATGGTTGGCAATTCAAGTCTGCCATGGGACAAAGATGAGGCTATCTCCTGCCATAAATATTTAGTCTCAGAAACCCTAAGGAATAGTTCTATTCTGTCCAATAGGGTTGCTATGGGTCAGAATTGATTCAGTGGCTGTTTTTTTCCCCTTAATAGTCCCAACTAGAGTACAGTAACCTGTGTTAAATGTTCAGTCCTCTACAATGTTTAGCACAATGTAGTTAATTTAGAAACACGACTTTTAAAAATGAAATCAATGACTAACTTCCCTTCCTAAAGGCAAGAAGAATTCATCTATGACGAGTGGCTCATGTGGTCTGCGAACTACTGACAGTCCTTCAATGTGTCTGGCTGGACAGGAAAAGGCTTTCTTGGCATGACAACTATTTTTAACGGGAGGATAATTATTGCCATTCAATCAAAATCGGTCCATTGGCATCTCAGGAAAAGTAATCTTCTCATTAACTTTGATGAGGTTTGTGCAGTGTTAATCACAAATACGCACAGTAAGTGACCCAAAGGATTCTGGGGAAGTGGCTTACGAGGAAAAGATGGCAATCACTAGATCAGCCAAGGGTCTGCATTCGAGATTCAATTATGGTCTGTAACAGTTTACTCCCTTAAAAGAAGATATAAAACAAACATGGTAAAAAATTGTTTACATGTGTTAAATCTGAGAGTTAATCCTTGTTACGCCATTTGTTATTTTTGTTCTATATGATCACTATCTTTTCATTACGTGGCACTTGAAGCACCTAGGGTGCCACAAACACACACAAGCACTATCTGATCTATGTCTGATGCGGTCCAATTGCTACTTACCAGCATGTCATCTTGCAACGAAGCAAAAAAGAAGCCATAGAGCAAGTTAACTTGGTCTTTCTGATCAATGAAGTCAAACATTGCAATGAGCCAACGAAAGAAAAGTACCTGTTGAGACAAAAATATTTTTGTTTAGAGAAATGCAAATAGCACAGAAGAGTGTAATCCCCCTCACCTTACTCCCTGACATCGAGGCTGTCCAAAATCACTTAAACTTAGAAGCCTGTAGCGTAAACTAGGATAATAGATTTTACTTTTCAATAAACTATTTGAGCAGAGTTCCTGCATTCAGTAATAATGTTCCAAAACTACAGGCTTTGCACAAAAGGTCACTGCCATTATTCTGTAAGTGGCTCTTCCTAGCCAGCCCTTAAGTGGTTCTGAAGAACTTATCATCAAAGTACTTAAAATGATTACCTTGATGCTACCTGAACACTTGCCGACACAAAGCCAAGAGACAGCCTTAACCACGGAATCTCCTGATATGAGAGTTGTAGGAATCAAGCACTTCAATAGCCGTGTGTTTACAGCAGTCCCTGGAAAGTAGGAAAACTCTAAATGAAACTACATATTAGTGTCTCCATTGTTTCCTGGACCTAAGAAATCCTACTTTATACTGAGGGCAATAAAACAAACTGTGTTCAGAGCCAATAGATTTGATCATTACAAAACATTCCTTAACACAGAAAAATTACCTTTAACTTCTAATACAAATACTGGCCCTAATAATTCAACTTAAAAAGGGGAGAAGGATGCAGTTTTTTTTGAGGTAATAGCAATGTTCTGCAATTAGATAACAGTGACAGTTATACAACTGTGGGAATACAGTATTCGGAGCCAAAGAACTGTACATGTTAAAAGGATGAATTTCATAATCTGCAAACAACTCAACAAATCAGTCTGTCATGGGAAAATTTAAAGGAATACTTTTTATTATTTTCCAATGTTGCAAAAGACTCATTTATTTAAAGCTACTGATAAATATCTTATGTGAGCTGCTACACTGAAGAAAAACATGGTTAAGGCTTCTAGAATTAAAATGTTTTTCATCAGTTTCTACCCCCTTGCACTGTGGAGTAGAAAAGTAGCAGTGGTTTGGGGGCGGGGAGGTTGGGCGTGTTTGTGTTTCCTCCTCCATTCCCTTCTAAAGTTTAAAATAGTCTCACAACTACACTTTACATAGGAACCAAGTTCAATTTGGTAATTTTATACTGCCTCTATTATTTTTTATTAGATATTTCACTTTAGTAATTGGGATTAATACATAGATCACACTATTTCACAGTTCAATCACATCCAGCAGAATTGTACACTGGCTCCCACAATCAGTTTCCAAACATATTCTCTATGGACCCCCCTTGACGTTACCCTTTTTCCCCACCACCACCTCTGCGTTTCCCTCCCCCCAAATCCTTATTCCGCTTGCTGGCTCTATAGGTTCACCAGTCCTGGTTTTCACACCCCAAAGAAACATATACCGCAACTTCAAGAGGGCAGCCCCCAATGACATAGCACTCCTGAGATATCCTCTAATATGTACAATCAAAAACCAAACCAAACAACACAACCCCCCAATACATAAGATTTTGGAAACCAGATCAGGTCCAGCATGCATCCTAGAGGGAATCTGCTGGATCTTCAAGGTGCACAGCATGCTCCAGAGGCTGCACCGATGAGATCCCCCATGAGAATTCCACGGGGTGCTTTGGACTCTACCTCAGATGCACCAGAACTTGAACACTTAAGCCAGAAAATACAAGGTGACTAGAGGAAGCAGAGGACAGCTGCTTCAATCTTGGAGGGCTATTGGTAGGTGGACAAAAAAGGTTTTGATACATCAATGCCTTATATGTTGCATTAAGATATGTATTATTCTGGCAAACCTGGGATGATCATTCTGATGTATTTGGTTTTTGTTTGTTCATATCAGGGTATATCTCAGAGGTGCTGTGGAGTTGGGGATTACCTTCTTGAAGTTGTGAAATCAGTTTTTCTTGTTTTTCAGTAAATAAAACCCAGGGCTGATGAACCTATAGGGATAGCAATGGTACAATTCTCCTTGATGAGTCTGAACGATGCAATGACATGACACTTGGGTTAATTCTCAAGTCCGATAAATTGAAAGACCAGGAAAATACAAACAAAAAGCCCCACAGATCCAGGAATGGTTTTTGTGCTCACATTAAATCCCAGCTCCAACTTAAGAACTATTAGTTCGGACTCTAATTTCTAATGGACTTTTTAATTAATTTCTGAAGAGTGTAAAGTCCCTTTGTACTTCAATATGATGATATTTCTAGCCTAACTAAAAAATTCAGTTATGAAGTCAACTCCAGCTCATAGGGACCCATAGCATCCAAAAAGCCAAACTCACTGCTCTCGAGTCAAGTCCAGCTCACAGACCCTACAGGACAGAGTAGAACTGCCCCTGTGGGTTTCCAAGATTGTACCTCTTTACGGGAGTAGAAAGTCTCATCTTTTTTCCTGCAGGACATCTGGTGGTTTCATAGTAGTCCAATGTATAACCATGTCACCAGGCTCCTGTTCCTTAACACTCATTTCAACTTACCAAAACAGTTATAAACAAAGATCTGGTATCGTGAGGGGACATCAAAGAAATAACAAAAAGAGAGAAAAGCTATTAAGGCAGCCATATTTGACCTGACCAAATTCCAACTTAACAGAAAAATGAAGTTAGACTACAAAGCCAAGGATAATTTTTTAAGTCGTTATACACATACACAAGTGTCCAGTGTAATGATGTGTACATTTTGAGCCACCTCACACCTGGCAAACATGAGCAATTCTTACTATTAACTTTTGAGCTATCAAGAAAAAAGGGGAAATTCCAAAATAGAAAGCACCTATAATAGTCTAAACATTTTTTAAGAGTAGAAGTGAATGATAAAGTCACTGTGAGTTGGAAATGACTCAATGGCAGTGAGTTTTTTTTGTTTGTGCTTAAGGGAGTGATAGAATTATTAGAACAACCAAACTCAAAAAGCCACTTTTATTAGGTCAAATTGAACTTTCTAAGTAAAACAAAGAACTGATAAGGGAAAAGTAGGGATATAAAACATAAGCTGAAAGTCATAAGCTGAATTAAGTCAGCAATGCTGTGTTGGTTTAAAACACACACACACACAATGATAGGGTACAAAGGATCTTACAAAGCCGTTAAACTAACCACTATACCCCAACACTAAACAAAGGCACGTCGGATGCAAGGACCAGAGAATATACACTTAGTCTATAAAGCATTTGGTTTAGATAACTCAAAATACCCCAATTCACTGGCACCGAGTCAATTCTGACTCATAGTGACCCTACAGGGCAGAGTAGAACTGGCCCTTTCGGTTTCTGATGCTTTAAATCTTAATGGGGACAGCTTCATCTTTCTCCTAAGGAGTGGCTGGTGGAATCAAACTGCTGACGACCTTGCAGTTAGCAGCCCAACATGTAGCCCACTATGCCTTTGGGGATCCTCCAGTTTTGATAGCTGTCTTCATTTGTTTTTTAATTGTAGAAAAGCTGGTAGCAGTGTGGTGCAGTGTAAACACTAGAATTAGGAGATCTGAATTCCACTTCCACCTTCTCACACGAAAGAAGAGTCCTAGTAGTTTCCTTATCTTTAAATTGAGAATGTTCAGGGTCTAAACTACCCTCAAAACCTGATACCAAGGGCTCAAGTAGAAAGCAAATGTTTTGAGAATGATCATGGCAACAAATGTACAAATGTGCTTGACACAATGGATGGATGGATGGATTGTGATAAGAGTTGCAGGAGCCCCCAATAAAATGATTTTTTTAAATGTAAAATAAAATTTTAAAAAGGGTAAAATGTTGTTTTCAAATAAAAAGAATACTGATGAGGGGTTATTCATACTTTTCCAAGAACCTGTCCCAACAGTCCCCCGGTGCTATCTCAGCTCATGAGTGTAAAACAGGGCAGAATGCATTTGCACAAAAGACAACACATCTTGATTGACAAGTCTATCCATCGTATTCATAACGATATGTGACAACTGGCCATTTTCACAATATGCACACACACTTTGGCTCTTAAGGTAGCTTGAACATTGAACGATTTTATCAGATTGGTCTTAAGCGAATAGTAAAACTCTAGAACTGCAATGGATTCCAACTGAACAAGCTAAGTGTGGGAGGCAAAACTAATAGCAAACTTAGGCCAGATGGATCCCTTCTACATACCAAACTTGCCACTGAGCGCCACATTTAATAGAGTGTCAATTTTTTCTGGAGACAAACCATTCTTCCAAGCCACATTTTCCACAATTTTGAAGTATTGTTCACTGTTTTGATCTTTACGCCTTAAGGTTTTCATGGAACCTGAAGAAAGGAACAATAACGAGTGGGACCTTAAAATCCTTTCAGTTCACAACAGTACAAATTTGGGATGCTTTAAAGGAACAACTCTTTGTAAAAATATTCTCCCTCAAAACCCTTCAAGGTCTTTAAAACTCTTGGCTATTTAACCACACTATAGCGTCTTTAGTGAGGAAAACTGAATTAGGCCCTGGAACCAAAGCTGGAAAAGCACTATGGGACTAGGTCACTGGGCCTAACTTCGTTCTCAAAGTCAATGCTCTACATCAGTGGTTCTCAACCTTCCTAATGCTGTGAGCCTTTCATACAGTTCCTCATGTAGTGGAGACCCCCAACCATAAAATGATTTTCGTTGCTACTTCATCACTGTCATTTTGCTTGTTATGAATTGGGCAACCCCTGTGAAAGGGTTGTTCGACACCCAAAGGGGTAGCAACTCACAGGCTGAGAACCACTGCTCCACATCCTAGTTTGATGAATAGCATCTGGGGTCCTAAAAGCTTGTGATTGGCCCTCTAGGCTACACCTACACCTACTTCCTGTCTGGAGCAAAGGGGAGTAAAGGAAACCAAAGGCTCAGGGAAGAAATCAATAGATGGGCTAATTGCCCACACAAACCACAGTCTTTTATAGCCTTAGGTCAAAAGAACTAGGTGGTGCCTGGCTACCACTACCTATTGTACTGACAAGGGACACAATAGAAGATCCTGGTAAGAATGAGAGAAAAATGCAGAAAACTCAAATTCATTTAAAAAAAAAAGACTAGCCTTATTGGACTGATAAAGAAAAGGGGAACCAACCCCTGAGACTACAGCCCTAGAACCTGGAACTGAAGCCACTCCTAAAAGTCACTTTTTAGTCAACAAAACAGATTGGGCTATAAAACAGTCAGTGACCCCTGTGAGCAATGTGATCCTTTAAACCAGGGGTCCTCAAACTATGCCCCTCCGAGGACATTTATCTGGCCTGCCGGATGTTTTTGCCTCATTTTGTTTTTTACTTCAAAATAAAATATGCGCAGTGTGCATAGGAATCTGTTCATAGTTTTTTTAAAACTATAGTCCGGCCCTCCAACGGGTCTGAGAGACAGTGTACTGGCCTCCTGTTTAAAAGGTTTGAGGACCCCTGCCTTAAACAGGAGAGCACACATTCAACATTTACACAGAAGTTAAAAAGAGAAGGCCAGGAGAGGCAGGGACTCAAGTAGGGAGAAATGGTGAGTGTGCTGACAATCATGGGGAATCTAACTAATGTCATGATACAATTTGTGTATGGAGTGCTAAATTTACTAGGTAAACCTACACTAGGTACATTTAATTTACTAGGTAAACTTTCATCTAAAACACATTAAAAAAACACGTTTTAAACAAACTACTAAGTCAAACCATTTGTTCAGACAGGGGCAGGTAACTTTTTTTTCTGCCAAGTGCCATTTGGATATTTTAAACTTCATTTGTAGGCCATACAAAATTATCCACTTAAAAAAATATATCTAGTGAGATATTTAATTAACTCACCCCTACTGTGTTGACTGAAACTGCTTCTCTTTGGTAAAATGTAAGATGTTGGAACCAAGCGCACCGCCATGGAGTCAATGCTGTTGGCTGGCATTAATGATTTCAAGGGCCTTATAAGGCCCTCTGGATTAGACTACATGTTGTTTTAATACTAGGGTAGTGGTTTCCAAACTTTGCTGTAGGTTAGAATCATCTAGGGGACATTAAAGAAAAACAAACCAATACCCAGACTGCATCTCAGACCAGTAAAATCAAAATGCCTAGGAGTGGCTACCAGCATTAGTACTTTTAAGAGATTCTTGAGTGATCCCAATGGGCAGAAACCTTTGGGAACCACTATGTGGTTCATAGTGATTCATGCTTCAGGAACATGTTTTAATGTTGCATCTCTAGTACTCAGCATACTGATATGTTCAATACGTGCTCAATAAATGCATATTAATGAAGCAAAAGCATGAATAAATAAAAATATATTGTCTCTTAAAAATCTTCAAACTCTACAATATTTTTATAGAAATAAAGACTTTCATCAAGGAAATACCAGTTACCTTCCTCAAAGTATTTCAGTGCTGTTTGCAGAGCATCTTCCGCATGTTCAGAATTGTCCTCTGAACTGCTTTGTCCGTATTTCAAGACTTCCTTTACGTTTCTTGGCTTTTCTTTGATTTGCTCATTCTGACTACCTAGAGAAGTCCTCTTTTTTGCCCGCGAGTCCCTGTGACTTTTTCCAGTAGACATTCCTGCATATGTTCTATATAGAAACAAGTGTCAAGTTACTGTTAATCAAACATTCTTTTTTGGTTCAAAGACAGGGACCAATTCTGCTGGTTATTTTACCAAGTTTAGCACAGTACTTACTTTACAACAGGTACAAAATAAATTTTCCACAATTCAGGCAACAAAATCAATAGGATACCTTTCTCAGAAAGCTCTTGACCCAAACTGACAGAGAGAACAAGTAAGATAATATTCATCAATTGGACAGGTCCTCTTGAAGGGGAACAGGGGAATGGGGTTGTGTGGAAACAAAACAGTAGAAATACAGGCAACATAGCAATTTCATTCTTACAATGGCTTTACCATATAAACCTAACCAAACCCATTGCCATCGAGTTGATTCTGACTTACAGCAATCCTATATAGGATTTCTGACTATAAATATTTGTGGGAGCAGACCACCTCACTGTTCTGCTCATCATTTAATTGGACCTAAAAATAATCCAGCTCATGAATTGAGTCGTAGTCTCTCCACTTTGATGTCACTTGTAATCTCTAGTGCCCCCACTTTGCCTGTGTTAAAACTAAAGAGCCCTGGTGATGCTGGAATTAGCCAATCACAAAGGGACAAACATCCTATGAGACCATTACTATAAAGGGGGGCGGGGGCTCAAAATAAAGACTCATATCAAAGGAACAAGATTTTAGAGTTTACTAAAATGATGAGTGCAAGGAGGGCAGATAAAACAACAGAGGCTTGACAGGTATTAACTTGGGTGAGGTAGAAGATGGTGGTCCACAAGAGGGAAAAGAAAAATCAAGGAACAGAGGAAAAGTATAAACTGTTTAAAACAAAGTTGATAATCTGAAATGTAAACTACCTACATTACCATTTTAAAAATTGTTTAAAAAAATAAATGAAATTCCTGCATAGGAAACTCTATACAGGGTGATTATAAGTCTGAGTTGACTAGGTAGTAGTAGATTTGATTTTAAAACCCGCATAGTTTAAAAACCAAATGAGTGGTCACACTAGGGATTCTCAGGACAGTAATAATGTCCATTTATTCACTTCTTTGAGACCCCTGGTGGCGTAGTAGTTACGTGTTAGCTTGCTAACTTCAAGGCCAGGAGTTTAATGCCAATCCACAGAAGAGAAATACAAGGCTTTCTACTCCCATCAAGAATCTTGGAAACTCAGGGGCAGTTCTATCATGTCTTCTAGGGGTTCTATGAATCAAAACTGACGGCTGCGAGTGGGGTACGCACTCCATCAACAAACAATTCGCACTGACATCAAGATGATTCCAACTCATTGTCACCCTATATAGGGTTACTGAGACTAAATCTGTACAGGAGCAGCCAGCCTCATCTTTCTCCCATGGAGCAGCTGGTGGATTTGAACTGTATTCTTTAAAGTTGTCAGCCGAATACCTAACCCACCGTGTCACTTGGGTGCCTTTAATAAATAACTACTGAACGTCAATTAAATGTCAAGCAGTTCTAGATATCAGGGATGAAATATAAAAATACTCAAGGTCCCTACTCTCATGAAAGCAATGAATAAGAATATTAATAATGAATAGGAAAAAAACAGTGATGTGATACAAAGGGAGGGCTGTTATTTTGGAATATGTGATCAGAGAAATTTTCCTTGTGGAGACCTTTACCGTGAGATTTAAATGTCAAAAAAAAACACCCCAGACCAGGCAAAAATTTGGTGCAAGAGTATTCATGGAGCAGGAAGAGCACCGGACAAGGTGGACAAGGAGTTTGGTGGGGTGTGTTGTTGATTAAACACTGGGCTGCCAACCACAAGGTCAGCAGTTCCAATCCACTAGCCTTTCGTGGGAGAAAGAGGCTTTCTGCTCTAGTAAAGATTTACAAGCTCAGAAACCCGCAAGGGCAGTTCTATCTACCCTGTCCTATAGGGTCGCTATGAGTTAATTTTGATTCAATGGCAGTTAAGGCAAGAAGAATTGAAAGGCAGCTTCCGGCCCCACCCCTATGATCCGTCCCAACCCTCTGAGCCCTTGCAATGCGTTTCAAGTTAAGTACAGTAACCCTTTTAGGGCCTAGCCCATTAGCAGGGAACTTGGCAACAACCTCTGGCCCACTGTACAGATTCCTAGGGTAGAAACTGACCCCAGCGACCCCACTCAAAGCAGTCCCGCCCGCAGAAATTAGGAGGTCCCTTTTGCACTCCCGGCTCCTATTGCCCGCGGTGTTTCAAAATACCTCACCTGGCAAGCTCAGGTCTCAGCAAGCTCTGGTCCCAATGGCGTCCGACTGCCTAAAACCGCCTCGCTAATTCAAACAGCGGTGCCCCGTCCCGCGCATGCGCCTCCCGGAAACTGGCGGGGGCCGGGGGCGGGGCGGGCGCCAAAGCTGCGCGGCCTGCGCTCTCCTGGCGCCCGATTGGTTGGCGTTACAGCTCTCCGGAGAGGGACGGGGCTTGGATCAAGGCTATCGTAGACGCAGTTACAGAGTGCGTCCGGTCCCACCAGCCGCAGCCTGGGAGCTCGAGGTACCTGGGCCTTTAAGGTTGGAGTCAGCTGATTGGCTCAAAATTGATCTCCCCTGCTCTCCTAATCATCAGGTTTGTAGTTTAACGTAGACCAGAGAGATAAACGTCGTGATTCTTAAAATTAACACGATCGAGTAATCATCATGGCCAAATTGACCCCCATATGTCAGGATTGTAAAACCGTAGAGAAATAAGGAAACGGCAAACGTTCCGATCAAGTCGGCTTTTACCGAGCGAGGAGCCCTAGTGGCGTAGTGGTTAAATTCTCCCCTGTGAACCGAAAGGGAGACCCGCCTTCTGAGAAAGCTGACAGTCAGTCTGCTTCTTTAAGGATTTACAGCTCCAGAAGCCCTATGAAGCAGTTCTGCTCTGATGCCACCAGATGGCAGTGTTTTGTTTGCTTGCTTGGGGAGTGTTCTCCCAGGCTAGATCTGTGGCCTCTGAGACTTTCCCCACCCCAGGTCCAGAGAAGGACTGAGAGGAAGGGAATAGTTGGGGGTGCCCCCCCTAGGTTTGCTAGGAATGGGTCTTGGGTCAGACGTGAAAGAATCCTACCCATGGGGATGCAAAAGACATCAAAGAAACCAGCTTCAACAGCAAGAAGGGCTAAACTTGGCCCCTAATTTAATCTCCAATTGCAGTAGGAATTAGAAATGAAAGAGAACGTTAATGACCCTCTGATTAGTTGAAGGCCAAAACAAACCTATAAACTGTGGACAAAATTGTAGGAGATAATTTTGCAATCTCAGTGTGGAAGGGGAAAAAAAAGCCAGACATGTTCCTTTGATTTTAAGAGGTTCTTCTACCCAAGAAACCAACACTTAACAGTACAGAAGGCCTGACTCAAACTGCAAAAACAGCTCTACACCATTTTAGATTTATATTTTATGACTAGAAAAAGGTAGTCAATAACAGCTCCCACCCCAAAATGAATCTGTGACAAATAAAGTGGGGGGGGGGCATCAAATCAAAACATTACTTCATGATTTTTAATGTGTCCCACTAATAGCTCCTACTGCTACTAGTGGTAAGGTCGGTAATTCAAACCCCACCAGCTGCTCTGGGGAAGAAAGGCGAGGTAGTCAGCTTCACAGCTTCAGAAGCCCTATCTCCTTCTCACTGCCATGCAGTCAATTCCAACTCAGACTGCCCGCCGCAGTAGGACAGAGTAGAACCGCCCCTTTGGCTTTCTGAGACTGTAAATCTGTATTGGAAATGGACAGCCTTGTCTTTCTCCTGCAGAGTGACTGGTTTCCAACAGTTGACCTTGAGTTAGCCCACTATACCGCCCTGTCCTGTAGGGTCACTATGAGTCAATCTGACAGCATTGGGTTTGGGCAGAGGTTTGCCTCCTCCTTTAATAAAAAGACTGCATTTCCTTGATTTCAGTTTCAAGAGGTCACATAGCTATATATGGGTACCAAAAACCCAATGCCTTTATTTAGGGTTTCAAAAAGCTGTGTTTACAGAAGCAAATAGCCTCCACTTTCTACTGCAAAGGCACTGGTGAGTTTAAACCTCCAACCTTTTGGTTAGCAGCTGAGCACTTTAAGCACTATGCCACTAGGGCTCCTACAAATGGGTAAAGGGCCAAGTTGGGGCACCTTTTCGCGTTATGGCAGTAACCATTAAGTGCTTGGTCACTATGGGAGCCTTAGTTCATTAAAAAAAAAATTATGTTTCTGTGAAATCTCCAGTCCTCTGAGTGTTCCTTTTCGTTTCCCACACACAGGGGAGACTGGTGCTCTTCCAATTCGCAAATTGTTTACTGAAGCATGAAACCATCAAATATTGTATTATTATTTTGAGCTCATTCAAAGGGTTATTTTTAGTTATTGTGACTATGCTACTTTGAGTCACTTGTTTAGAAATGGAATTTTCTCACTGAATGCATATAGAATGTCTGTTTCAATTTCCCTGACTTTTGACTGTTTTTTAAAAAAAATCATTTTATTTGGGGCTCATTCAGCTCTTTTCACAATCCGTACATACATCCATTTTGTCAAGCACATTCGTATATTTGTTGCCATCATCATTCTCAAAAGATTTTCTTTCTACTTGAACCCTTGGTATCAGCTCCTTGTTTTTTCCCCTTCCTTCCCTACCCTCCCTCCCTCACGAACCCTTGATAATTTATAAATTATTATTTATGTCTTACACTGTCCGATGTCTCCCTTCATCCACTTTTCTGTTGTCTGTCATATGGGAGGGGGTTATATGTAGATCATTGTGATCTGTTCCCACTTTCTCCCCCCACCTTCCCCTTGCCCTCCTGGTATTGCTACTCTCATTATTGGTCTTGAGTGGTTTATCTGTCCTGGATTCCCTGTGTTGCCAGCTCTTATCTGTAGCCGTGTACATGCTCTGGTCTAGCCGGATTTGTAAGGTACAATTGGGGGTCATGATAGTGGGGGTGGGGAGTGGAGCTAATAAGAACTAGAGGAAAGTTGTATGTTTCATCGGTGCTATATTGTACCCAGACTGGCTCATCTCTTCCTTGTGACCCTTCTATAAGGGAATGTCCGATTGTCTACAGATGGGCATTGGGTCTCCACTCTACCCTCACCCTCATTCACGTTGATATGATTTTTTTGATGTTGCTCTGGGTCTTTGATGACTGATACCCCACACAGGCTGGTGTGCTTCTTCCATGTGGACTTTGTTGCTTCTCAGCTAGATGGCTGCTTGTTTTTCTTTTCTTTTTTATTTTTAAATAATCATTTTATTAGGGGCTCATACAACTCATCACAATCCGTACATACATCATTTGTGTCCAGCACACTAGCACATATGTTGACTTCATCATTCTCACAACACCCGCTTTCCAATTGAGCCCTTGGTGTCAGCTCCTTATTTCCCCCTCCCTCCCCGTACCCCCTTCCCCCTGAACCCTTGATAATTTATAAATTATTATTATTTTATCATATGGCTGCTTGTTTTTCTTCAAGCCTTTAAGACCCCAGATACTAAATCTTTGTTTGTTTGTTTGTTTTTAATAATCATTTTATTAGGGGCTCATACAATTCTTCACAATCCGTACATACATCGTGCCCAGCACATTAGTACCTATGTTGCCATTATCATTCTCACGATGCTATATCTTTTGATAGCTGGACACCATCTGTTTTCTTCACCACATTTGCTTATGCACACATTTTGTCTTTAGCAATCATGTCGGGAAAGTAAGGATCATAGAATGCTGGGTTATTAGAACAAGGTGTTCTTGCATTGAGGGAGTACTTGAATAGAGGCCCAATGTCTGTCTGCTACCTTAATACTTAACATATAAATATATGTACATAGTTCTATTTCCCTATCATTATATATAAATATATTTACATATGTATCTGCATGTATTTAGACCTCTATAAATGCTCTTTGCCTCCTAGTTCTTTCCTCTATTTCCTTTTATTTTCCTCTTGTCCCACCATCATCTTCTGCCTTCATTGGAGTTTCAGTAATTCCTCTTGGTTACTTTGCCCTTGCTCAAGCTCCCCCAGACATGCTATGCCCTCCTTGCCATCGATTTTAGATTACTTGTTGTTCCCTTGTCTCTGGGCTCATTGACACCCCCCTTCCTTTCACCTGTCTCCCCCTCTCCCGTGTCCTCCGGAACCGTGGGTCCTGTTGTTTTCTCCTGGTTTTGACCTTTTTTAACAGGTGAGATGAGGAACCAAATATTAAATTGATGCATTTTTAAAAATCTACGGTAGAAATGACTGTTTACCACATTTTACTTTTATATGCTTTTCAGAGTACTTTCATATACTCTTTTTTTCTTTCTTTCATATACTCTTAATCGTGCATGAAAACTATGGCAATGTTAACCCTACAAATATTTCAGTAATAGCTCTTCATCCTTATCTAGTAAAACAAACTTTCTCTAGAGTCATTTTGCACACTTTGTCATTTCATAAATTAAAACAAATGTAAAAACAAACAAAAAAAAACCTCACTGACATTGAGTAGCGCCCTGTAGGGCAGAGCAAAATGGACCCTGTGGGTTTCCAAGGCTGTAACTCTTTGTAGGAGTAGAAAGGCTCATCTTTCTCCCAAAGAGCAGCTGATGGTCTCGAACTGCTCACCTTGTGGTTAGCAGCCCAAGGAGTAACCCACTACACCAACCAGCACTCTTGCATTTCATAGACTCCAAGAAACAGAAATTGGCCATGATTTTAAGATTTCTAACCCTCCTTTTTTTGTTGATGATCAAACTAGGTCCCTGAGAAGTGAAATAACTTGCCTAATGCAACAACCTTGTGGCAGTGCCATGTATTGGCAGTTTTCTTTTGGAATCATTTCTCTGCCTCCCCTTGGCATGATCTCATGAAACAGAATTCCTCAAACATAAAAGTTATATTGGGATCCCAAATCTATGACTTTTCCATCTCATTTGCTGATATAACAGAAAGCGAACAACTTCACGAATATAACTCAATAACTCACTGCTATTAAGTCAACTGTGATTTATGGTGGACTATAGACACAATGGAACTGCCCCTGCAGGTTTCTGATTCTGTAATCTTGCAGGTTAGCTGACCAACAGGGAGCCCAGTCCGCCATGGGGGCTCCTGTAATCATGCTCACTCACTGCCATCTAGTGGATGCCAAATCATAGCATGCCTACAACTGCCCCCCTCTTTTTTTTATGTTTTGATATTTTTATTTAATAAAGGTTTCTATGATTTTTTTGGCCAACATTGTCGTTTTATTTTATTATTATTTTTTCTCTCTTTTAAAAAAATCATTTTATTAGGGGTTCATACAACTCTTATCACAATTCATACATACATCAATTGTGTAAAGCGCATTTGTACATTCATTG